TGAGCACAGAGCCCAATATGGGGCTAGAACTCATGAGCCATGAGATCATTACCTGAACTGAAGCCAGACACTCAACAGACTGAGCCACCCAGGCACCCCGAGCTTCCAACTTCTGATTTCGGCTCAGGTCAGGGTCCCTGAGTCATGGAATCAAGCCCCATGTCAGGCTCTGCGCTGAATGAGGAGCCTGTTTGAGATTCTCTCTCTCTCTCCCTCTGCTCCTCTCTCCTGCTCTCTCTCCCAAATACACTTCTAAGGAAGAAAAAAATGACTAGAAAGATCCAGTATCACTTTCTGGTATTTCACAAAATCAACCAGATAAGTTTTTAAAGTCACATGTCCGACTTTATACTACCTGCTTGAAGATAAGCCATAACAGGTACTTACTGAAAACAACTTACTTACGGAAGCAAATCTTAACCTGAGAGACTTTATCAATTTCCTTGTGAATTGGGACAATATTTGTATTGTTCTATTTTGTAGTTGTGTGGTTCTATTTTAGAAGAATATCCAGGCCCACCTTTTTGTGGCATGTGTATGTTTCTGTCCTGAAAGAGAAAGGTAAACGTGGAAAGAATGGCTTCTGGGGAGAAGCACGGAAAATGACTTTCATGTTTTGAACTATGTTATCTTATGATGGGGTCCTTATAAAGGGGGTTATACTCATTGTTATTGAAGTAAAAAATCAATACTGGAACAAAGCATAACCAGCAGTGCTAGTTAGGGAGGCAGGGGAGAGGTCACGGTTTGAACATGTTTCTCAAATTGCAAGAGATTTTAATTGATCAAAAAGGAAAGTGAAATGAAAGTGAAACTGGAAATTGGAAAGCACTGGTTTGAGCCTCAGACTAGCTCTTCAAAACAAAACTCCTTGGGGCCTTTACTATGCTAGTGCACATTGTAAATCTCCAGGAGGGAAGTAACTTCCTGAGCTTGTGACCATAGCAGCTGTAGTTTAAAGGACAGTTTGGGAAACACTGAAACCAGAATTTTCTGAAGGTCAAAGCATTCCTTAAAGGAGAGTCCTGGTAGACGTTGGGTGATCAGAAGAGTAGATGCTAGAATAAATTACAGGGTGTTGGGTGAGACCTACTGGCTGGAGTGAACGTTACCACTCAACTTCTGAGGAGGTCCCCCTCCCCCAAACAGGTAGATAAGGACAGTGATGAGATCAAGAAAAGCATGGAAAAAGTACCTCAACACTGATTTTTCTGTTAATATTGCTAACCTAAGTGCAAGATCCTCTTCCAGAAATCCACCTTTGTCTAAACCTTCCATTTGGAGTTGGCTGGGCCTCGTTAAAGGGGAATCAAGGCTTACCCCTGCAGATTCTTTGGGAAATGAACAGAGTAGAACTAAAATGAAGTGTGTCGAGGTTCAGGAAGTCTCAGGAGATGGAATTTCTAGAGGCCCTGGGAGATCCACAGAAAATCAGACTTGTGCAAAGTTTATCCAATTCAGGAGCACAGTTGGACTTCAAAATTTCACTGCGGGCTCTTGAACACGGGCTGCTTGTGAACAATGCTGATGCTATGTTGTAACTGATTGCAGTTCTTCCCGAAAGCCTATGGGTGGCAAATGTGAAAATACCATCTAGAAAGCAGTTAAAATACACCTCCCTTTACTCTCTCGAAGCAACTGTTGTTAAGCTGGGGCCCACCCTTTTGCATGCTTACGCACATTCATAATTTTTTCTACAGCATTTTTTGCTGACTTGAATATTGTTCTATGTCCATTCCCACTTCCTACATTCTTTTAACTATTGCATTATCATCAAGTAACCACTTTCATGGGCAATCAGGTCATTTCCAATTTCATTACAATAAACAGCATTATAAGCACGAGGCAAATTTTTGCATTGTTTTAAGCACTTCAACATGGACTCCTAATGATTCTGTGAAGTATAATTAGCACCATTTCTTCAGATGACTGTGATGTACTGACAGAATGAATTAGTTGTTCAAGGTTACAAGCCAGTAGGTAGGCAGGTGATGGAGGAATTTGAACTCCAGTAGCCTGGTCTCCAGAGCCACTCTCTGAATAAGGCCACTACATTTTTACCCAGAGAGCATATAATCTTTAAATTATGTAAAATTCACTACGCATTTTTTTTTCCATTCCACTGTGAACCGGCAAAAACTCTTGGAGTGGCATCAGAATACAGACTAGCACCAGGGACTTATTGCCTTCAATATACCAAACAAGTGTTCTTTTAGCACTTTTTTTTTTTTTAAAGAATCTCTATATCTGACAATGAGGCTCAAACTCAACTCTTGAGAATGAGTCACGTGTTTTACTGTTTAGCACATTTTTGCACACTCAGGAAAGAGCACAAGAAACAGAATATTAACAGAAACCCTTCTATCAGATTCCTAAGTAGAAGGGAAACCTTTCCTTCAAGGGCAGGTGGGGTATTTGTGCCACAGGCTGTAGCAGTATATAGGTCGATCTCTTCCCTCCCATGGGCTCTGGCATCTAGACTAACACTGCAATGGAGAACTGTATTTCTAGCAGTTAGACGAGGAGCTAAGCGAACAAACATGAAAGCTGAAGGATAAAAATGAGTTATCTTGGCTTCAGATACGTGGACACATCTTTATCCCCTTTTCCATCCCTTTCTAGGACATCCCCAAAGCAAAGCTCCACTCCCAGTCATTTTCGCACAGCATTGCTGGTCCCTTACCAGGAGTCAAGAGAAATGAACAGGAGCCACAAACTGCAACTGGCCTCAGTTCTATTCAGTGAAGAGCAAGGTTTGAGGCCACCAGTGATAAACCCATTTCCCATATTCAACTGATCGCACAGGTTGTTGAAGACCAACACACATTTAGGGAGCATTTTTCCTTGGTCAAATTTCAAGTTGTGTGCAGAAGAGAATTTGCTAAGACCCATGAATATTTAGGGGCCCCTATGGAAGGAGAGCTTGACTGCACGAGCGGACATCTTTTTTGAGATTCACAAGACTATAAAGCTGTAAGCCTGTCAAGACAGATAATGAAAAATTAAGAGGAGAATATTAACTGTGCAAGTCCTATTGCCCAACCACCCTTAGCTTTTACTTCTTCAGTTAAATACTTTTATTCTCCAGGTTTTCAAATCAGGGCTTTTAAGTATAAAGCAAAATGTGGGAAAGAACAAGACCCAGCTTTCCTAGCAAAAGGCCTGTTCTTAATTACTGTGGAGTAATTAAGCAAAAAAGCTGCTTAAAACTATTAAGAGGGGCGCCTGGGTAGGTTAGTTGGTTAAGTGTCTGACTTCAGCTCAGGTCATGGTCTCATGGTTCTGGAGTTTGAGCCCCACATGGGACACTGTGCTGACAGCTCAGAGCCTGGAGCCTGCTTCAGATTCTGTGTCTCCCTCTCTTCTCTGCCCCCTCCCACTCACGTTCTCTGTCAAAAAAAAAACTTAAGGCATTAGAGAACATGCCAAAACCCAAAATACCTAATAAAACATGGATTTTAGGAGATCTTGAAGTCATAGTTGATAGGACACTTGGCCTGGAGTCCACGGCTTGCTCCTGACTAGGAATAGACCTTCAACAATCAACTGCAAAGCATTGGACCTGGAAAAGAATGCCACCTTCCAATAGTGAAATTCTTTCAATAGTGAGACGACTTTCCCTGAAGTCCAAGAAAGGCTTTTCATTACCACCTGCAAACATTCAATATAGCTGTTTTTGCCCTTTCTGGCTCATTTTGTTCCTACAGTGCTGAAATACTAATTCACTGAAACAACCCACTAAGTGGTATTTCCCGTGTCTAATTTACAAAGAAACCTTAGTTCAGTACTCCAGTTTAGTATTTTATGCTCAAATTTAGATTTCTAGAGCAGAAACTTAAGAACTACTATGGCAGAGTTCCCCAAATCCTACAAGTCTTTCATTGTCAGGTATACCTGAACAATCAAATCCATTTCTACAATGTTCAGTTGCTGCTTTGGGACACATCTTGGTGGAATTAAGTTTTCTCACTCCTAACAGCAACACCTGGCAATTACAAGTGCTCATACCATGTTATATTCCTACTACAGTGTAAACTTGAGAAAACCAAGGCGGCTTCCACCTTCTTCCTGGTGCAGGCACTCCCAACTCCCAATCTTGTCCCAAGTTGAAAACCACTCTATTTGCTGAAGTTCTGCTACAGAGAACTTACAGCATTGTTAATAAAGGGTATCCTGTTCTCTACAGTTTTACTCAACTTTTTTCTATGAGTACCAGAAGTAGTATTGGAAACCTTGATCTAGTGTTTACTGGTAGGATGTGTAAAAACTGTGGCTCAGACAACACATTCTTATAGAAGTCTTAGAGAATCTTAGTTATAATTTTACTTTTCCTTGCAATAACAAAGCTACCATTAAGAACCAATGCGGAGGTGCCTAGCTAGCTCAGTTGGTATAGCATGTGACTTGATCTCAGGGTTTTGAGTTCAAGGGAGAGGTTACTTTAAAAAAAAGAACTGTTAGGAACCACCTTCATTTGCTAATACAAAGGTGTCACCAAGTTGCCTTGGACCAGGATACCCTTTTAAAACTCTCAGTCCTGTTGATCAGGACGCCACTTGATTCTCATTTCAGATAGATTAGGGTTTCAAAACCTAAAGTTAATTACTTGAATGTAATGCACTGCAGGGTAAGAAAAGCAGTTAACCAATAACCGCAATACTTCAAACAATTCAGCAGCCTCAACCAAAATTTCATTTTTCCCTACGAGGCTAGATCAGCTCAATTAGAGGCGAAGGTAAGTAAGTTTTCTTTCCCTCAACAGGCCTCCCAATTCTTAATTGTACTACACTTCTAAAATGGTTTCACATTAGACCAGAATCTTAACTTGTAAATGACTTCGCCAAAGGACAAATTTCCCACAACTCCAAATACCTTTTTCTTCCCAAGAGGAATTACTTTTGGTGAAACAGACCTTCTGAAAGCAAAATCCCTTCCCCGAACATCGTTTTAATCAGGTAGGAGCGCCCACACCACCATATAATTTCACGACAGACACCAAATATGCTACCATGCAACAAAACTTTTATTAACATTTTGAACAGCTATTGAGAAAACCAGTGATTCAGCAGTTACTGAAACTGGTAATTTCTAAACTTAAATTGGGGCAAATGGCTAGAGTGCAGAGCGATGCCATCATTGGGCACTATGAATTTCAAGACTGAATAATTAACAGCCACCCCTCAGACGGAGAACCAGATGGAGAGTGGACTCTTTCTGGATGTTGTAATCAGAAAGAGTGCGGCCATCTTCCAGCTGCTTGCCGGCAAAGATGAGCCTCTGCTGGTCGGGGGGGATGCCCTCTTTATCTTGGATCTTGGCCTTCACATTTTCGATGGTGTCACTGGGCTCCACCTCCAGGGTGATGGTCTTGCCGGTCAAGGTCTTCACGAAGATCTGCATTTTGACCTAAGGAGTGTAAAAGGAAAAAGATTAGTGTACCACCTCAGGATCTTTAAATTACTTACATATATAACCAATTTTCCAAGGCAAGTTTACTTCACCCTCCGGAAGTGACTTAACCACATTACCGTCTCTCACAAACCTCCCGACTTCTAGAAGCCTTAAATCAGGCACCGAATATAAAATGTAGCCAAAGATTCAACTTAAACGCGATAAATGACCAAAAAAACTTCCAAGAATTAATATCCAGAGCCCCTCCCACCTACTCTAGACTCTTCACTAAATCGTACTCCGTCCTGACCCATCCCCAGAATTTCCCCCAAACCCAAACAAGATACATAAAATTTAAAAAACAAAATAAATCCCTCCTAAAAACCGAAAAATAAAAATTGCCGTTTAAACGGAAGTGAGGCGGGATACTTTCACCGCGTTGGGATTCAAAATCTAGAAGTTTCAGAAACCACGCTAGACCACCTTTTTTCCGCCTTCCCCCTCTGAACCAGACACGATGGAATCTCCATCGGTTAAGGGTCGGTTGGTCTCCGCCTGGGCGCGCGCGCCAACCGCCCCCGCTCCTGCGCGTAAACAAGGCCCCCTCTTCCGGAAAGGCCCGGCGCCGCAGCGCCGCGTCACCTCGCCCCCCCCTCCCCCAACCCCTTTCCCGGAGGCCCCCCGGGACCACCAACTCGCCAGCCTGCTCTCACTTAGAACCCTTCTCCACTCCTCCCAGATCTCGAAGCCGCCGTGGTGCCGTACCTGCTAGCGAACACAAGGACACCGAGGCCAATCACGTCGAGTCACCGCAAGACCAGGACACACCCGACAATGCCAGCCGCTTCTGAACGCGCCCGGCTCCGCGGAGCTGAGATTTATGCGGCGTCTGTTGCGTCACTCATCACTGCCTACGTAGCCGCCGTGTCCGTACGCTGCTGAAAGTAGTTCGCGCGGCCCCACCTCCCGCGACCCAGTTAGGCCCTTCCACCGAGCCCTACGTTCCTCAGAGCCGAAGAAAGGACCCTAAAACATCAGCTCCCCTCCCTTCCAGGCGATCCGTCTCCTCCCTTAGGAAAAAATAGGAAAATTATCAGGCGGATGGATTTGAGTTAAGGGGACCTTCCTCGAAAGCTCTCGAAACTTCCTTGCGGCGCCGGCGCTGATTGGTGAGGCGTATGAAGGCGAGGCCGGCGCTGATTGGTGGGAGACGGGGCGGCTCGGTTGTTGCTGGGCTCCTTGTTGGGGTGGTTAAGCGCCGACGTTGCTAAGTAACTCAGTGCGCGTGCGCCACAGAGGCGCGCCTTCGCGATAGAGGTGTACTTCCGGTCGGAGAGGGAGGAGGGGTACTTGACTCCCGCCTCCGGCGTCCCAACGCCCCCTCCCCCACTTTAAATCTTGGGTGTTCGGGCTTTAAGTGAGGAAGAAGGGCCCTCCGCGGCGACCTCCCCGGGAAGGCCGCCCGGCGCCGGGCTTGGAGGCGCCCGGGAGCGGGGCGGCGCGGCCCCCAGCTGTTTGTGCGGGCGTCTGCGGCGGAAGCACAAACCCGCCCCCCACCCCCACCCCGGTCTCAAACGCGAGCCCGCCGTGGCCTGTTTCAGTTTTGCACTTGGGAATGGCGGGGTTGAGGACCCTTAATTACACTTGTTTATTGGAGTCAGAACGCTTTGGTCCTTCTCGATCCTCCCCGGGGCTCCGAGGAGAGTCTGTCCTCTAGATTCTGGTGGGGGGCCCCTCTTGGGGCCCCGGCCGTCCCAGAGCCTTCAGGCCCAGGGAGGCGAGGCCCAGGCTCCAGGTGACCCGGGAGCCCTCGAAACCCGCAGTCTCTTTTCCTTCTTCTGTTTCACCAAACTCTGGGAGGGAGAAAAAGATGCAAATTAGGGAGCCGGAAACCCGCTTTGAGAGATGACGAGGACTCCGTGTCCAAGAAAAGTAGTATTTCTCCCACTAATGTGTGTGTTCAAGCGACACTTAAGGCGGAGCTAACCGGCTAAGGCCACTCTGGCTGGTTTCCCTGCACCCTGGGTGTGGCCCCGTGTCCCGCAAGGAGATAACCCGAGGAGCTGAGTCAGGCAGGGGCGTTGGGATCTCGGGGACACGTGGCCCAGCGTCTGAGTCACGGAGGCGGGGGTGGGGTGAGACGAGCGGGGGTAAATAAACATGCAAATGGCTGTTTGTCGCGAAATAACTAATTTTAGTAAGGAGTCGTCTAAAGATTTGCACAGGAACACAAATTAGCTAGATATCAGTTAGAAAAGTCGTTAAATTACAACATTTCTAAGCATAATATTAAAAACACTTTGTCGAGGAGTTTGCACTATCGACAGGTATGTGAGGAGTTAACAGTCTTTAGTTAACTGGACCTTGGTAAGATCTCCTTACTTGAATAACTTCTCCCAAGTCCTACACGTTGGTGGGTAGAATAGTCTAGAATGGAGATCTGATGATAACGATGATTTGGTTCAGAGTTCCAGCAGTTGCTAGAACCAAGTGAGTCATACAGCTTCCTGGTTGAATGTTTTCCCAAAGTGGGACACTTGATAACCTCAACAAAGCAAAATGTTTTCAGAAGGAAGACAAGTGCCGTCCTTGTAAAAAAAAAAAAAAAAAAGAAAAAGGTAAATTTTTTATGGTCTGTTTGTAAATGAACATTTTCGTAATCACATCATTTCTTGGTAGTAAAGTGTAAAAGATAATTTGTAAACAATTAAAAAGTATAAGGACAGAATCCTGAAGATCAGGGATTTGGTAATTTAGCACAATACCTGGCACTGTGTTCAGTATGTTTGTTTAGTGAACAAAGTAAAATTTTACATTGTTTTCAATTGGGGGTAAGAAACCACCGCAACCTGTGATGACAGCCTTAGGCACCAAAATACAGAACAAAAAGCCAGCAGTTATTTATTCCCCATAAACAAATGGATTTTGCCTGGGCAGTTCCTTTGGAAAACAAAAACAAAACAAAACAAAACAAAAAACCCTCAAAGATTTGGGGCGCCTGGGTGGCTTAGTCGGTTAAGCGTCCGACTTTCGCTTAGGTCATGATCTCGCGGTTTGTGGGTTCGAGCCCCGCGTCGGGCTCTGTGCTGACTGCCAGCTCAGAGCCTGGAGCCTGTTTC